AATCTCTGTCTCCATTTAGATGGTAAACAAAACAGTTTGTTCTGTCTATCTGTGTGTTTTTTTTCCCACAAGCATCTGCTGCATATTCATACATGACAAGCACAGTGTAACTCAATAAGCTTTACACATGCAAGATTAATTGTATCATATTGTTGTATGTAGGGGTGTTTGTTTGAGAATGAATGAGAATCCATATGTCCATTTGTATTTATCAGTCCCTCCAGGATTTTGCAGGCTCTTTTTGGGATTGTCGTGGCCAAAAATGCCCAATTTCACGGCAGCTTTTCTAAAAACTTACAATGTTTTTTTTTTTTTTTTACAAGAAAATTGCAGGAGCAAGTGCAAGAATAGTTGCTTTTTATGTTTAATTCATTGAAAATCAAAGGCATCTTGTCCAAGTGAGAATAAAACCGCACTGTTCTGAGTTCGTAATTCATACTACACTAAAGATAGCACTAACCATGCACCATTACCTTGATTCTTTCAGCTCTTTCATTAGATCTAGGTGCAGCAGCCTCTGTCATGATGATTTTTCTTATCTGTTTCAACATGTTTCAGCCATTCCTGAATTGTGTTGCAAAACAGCTAACCCCTGCTTTCATGCAGAATATCAGAGATTAGCCTTGCTTGATCTTTAGCTGTAATTTTAGTTTGTAAATGTGAGATGTGCATGTTGCATGGTACATGTTCACAACTAGGAGTGGGGGGGAGGGAATCGATACAGCATAGTGTCGCTTTATTTTTGTGTGACAATAACATATCAGTGCCAAGTATCAATTTTTATTATATAAATTACTAATGTTACAAATTAAACTTTAGGTCGTCTACTAGAATATTATAATTAGTTGCTTTGTCAGTTCACTAGAGACACTTTCATTCATTCATTTTCTGAAACCACTTATCCTGTTAGGGGTGGCAGAGGGGGCTGGAGCCTATCCCAGCTGACATTGGGCAAGAGGCGGGGCACACCCTGGACCAGTTATCAGCCTATAGCAGGGCTGACACATTCACGCTAAAGTTCACACTTACAGGCAATTTAGAGTCACAAGTTAACCTGCATGTCTTTGGACTGTGGGAGGAAGCCGGAGTACCCAGAGAGAACCAACACTGACACGAGGGGAACATGCAAACTCTGACAAAATTGCAAGGTTGGGCAGAATTTACGGGGATTAGTTGAAATTGCATTAATTGTTGCAGCTGAAATAATTGAATGTTCAATTTTTCTCTCTCCTTCCTGTGTAATCTGTATGTGTCCATATGGATTATACCCCTCTCTTGTCACTCTCACCTTATGTTCTCTCTCCTACACGTTGGTGGCAGAATCACACACTGGAGTAATTCCAGATTTGTATCGAGTAGACTGTGTTTGGATCATCTCTCCCTCTGTATCGCTCTTACTCACCCTCTTGTCACTATTATTCGATGTCCTCTCTCTCTCTTATACAGTGAAGGTCTAACGTTAAGTCATATCCCTTGTTTCCACCCAAAGTCATCTTATTACCACAGCCATGTAAATACTTACAAGATACAGGTGTCTTTTGTGTGTGCAGGATGGTGTCACAATAGTTCAGTCTTTAGACTTTCTCTAGTGGGTGCCAATCTGCCGCCAATCACTGCTACATTGTGCATCACTTAGTTCAGCCCTGGGGCTTGGTACAAGAAGAGTCCATATTGTTTGTGACCTTCAGGCTCTGTGTGCATTTCTGCAAGGAGTGTGTGTGCAGGAACAAGTGTTCAGATCTCACCATTTCTTGCTAAAAACAAAAAAACCCTGATGTTTTGTAACAGCCAATTTCCTAAACTGAATGCTGTCAGAAACAGCCCATGAATTGAATATGTCCTTCTCCCCTTGACGGTCTGCACATAGGTGTTGCAGAAATACATCTCAGTGTTTTGATTATTCACACTGAGCCACATCTGTCTTGAGAAAAGTAAGAATGGAAACGGGGATGATTGTTTGGAATGAAAGGTTGAAATTGGCAATTTTCATGCGACTAAATCTCTCAGTGGGGGTTATGTGTCACACAGAAGATTGATGGCTCATTTATTCTTCTAAGTAAATCAGTATTGTGGCCATTCTATCTCTGTCCTGCTCACGGAGCTGTATCTGCACTCTGTTAGCTTGTGGGTGTGTCTTGTATCAGAAACAACCAGACGCAGGGATGATCCCTGCTATTTCCGAGGGAGACTGCATCTTAACACTGGCCTGTGCTGGGCGATAAAATGATTGGGATGATCTAAAAGTGAAAATGTAATTTACTCGATCATATACAAGGGAATTGCACTGCGTTCTTGTGTGTTCCTCTAATAGCAAATGGCAGCTCATGTGAATAAGTGAATATTCAACCAAAGATAATGACACTGACGGGAGTAGTTTTTCTAATTATATAATTTGTTTGAAGTCCCCTAAAGACAGGTTTTAAAGTATAGATACTCTGCTATGGTTAATATTTTGTTTAACATGGTTTCCCCTCATAAAACATAAAAATAGAAAAGGGGCTGGAAGCAGAGCTACTCTTTCTCCCTCATTCAGAAATTCTGGATCTGACCTCAGGCCCTGCCTACCACCGCTTCGTGCACTATGTTTCGCTTTACACCAGTGCTAAAACAAAGTGTGGTCTGGTGGGTCTGGCTATGGGAGATCGGTGCCAGGTTGACCGATGAAAAGGCAGCAGGCATCAAGAATGCTAGCATTAGCATTAGAGGAAACATGGGAGAGATTCTGCCACACATGTCTGAGCCTCAGTCAGACCTAGACTCAGATGAGAAGTCTGTTTTGTTCCAAAATTGGCAACTAGCAAACGTATTGGAATGATAAGAGCATGTAGCATCTTCCATTCATTTATGTAGTTAGCTTCTAGGCTATATGGCAGTGACTGACACAGCCATAGGAGTTTGTGAAACACACAATAATATCTATATCCAGGGTCTGGTTTTCATCCAAAAACTGCACATTCCTCCATGTTTGCGGTCAAAACTTTCACTATGCTAATGCAAACTATGCTCTCTGTACTGACAAGTCCGCTCTCAGGTTTCCTTGCTGGTGTTGACGTCTGTTCCCCAGTCGATTTGTGTTTCCTGTATTCGACAGCGATTGTCTTTCGTTTTAGTGACCTAATCTAGTCACCTAATCTAGCTTGCCCGGAGTATGTTTAAATCTCAGATGTAAAGAAAGTGCACAGGCATTGTTTGCTTCAGTAGAAGAATGTGAAAACACCTCTGTAGTGAAAAACTTGGCAGAGATGCGGGTGGCTTGGCACATTTTTCAACCACATCCACTATCACCAGTACTAACTAATGGTCTTCCTCAGTATAATTACTCACAATTGTTGGTTTATAACAGCTAAAGCAAAGTTAACATTTTCTGCTGTTGCCTCACAATAACAGCTTTCAAGCAGAAACTCCTCCCTGCAAAGCTTTTATTGGAAAGCAGCTCTTGAAAAGGCATTTTATTTGTCATGAAGATCAGCAGTGCTTTGTTAGCTGCACTGTTGTTCAGTAAAAATTGATTTTACACATCAAGATGTGGATACATTGTGCACTATTTTGTCATTGGATTTGGTTTAAATGCTGCAAAAGGCGATGTTACCAGAGGATACAGCCACTGGCAATGACTGCAGGCTTTTATACTGGTTTGTGCAATCCAGCACACCCCCACCTTGTAATGAAGGTAAACAATAGTTCCTCTGCACCATGCTGTCCTCTTTAGTATATTAATACCATGTATATTCATTTCACCATCAAGCATCAGGATAACAAATATTTTCTTTTGGATAATTGAAGGTCTGTTGTATCTTATTTGCATACACGCAGCACAAGATGTAATCAGGGTTGCTCATGGCACTGCGCAGGTATCTCAGCCACATGAAAGAATGTCATTAAGGAAAAAGGACTGAGCAGGTTCCCCTTCTGCATGCTCCCTCTCACTGCAGTTAAGCTTCACATATCTACAGCTGAGGTAGAGGAGAGGAGAGCGGAGGAGGGCTTAAAGCAGCGGTTTGGGGGAGGGGTGAGTAGAGCGTGTCTACAATGTGAAAGGAAATTTCAGTGCACCCTCAGGGAACATGGGAGAGGAGGTGTGAAAAGTAGGCTGGTCTTAGTGTCGTGGAGTGACTAAACTTCCTCAGACAGGTCACAAAAGAGGCTGAGGGTTGGAGTGTGTGTGTGTGTGCCTGTGCCTTAAAGCGGCTGGCTGTGATTGTAATTGACCATGGTAATGGACATTACATGGGACAGCTAAGGATAGCAGGCGAGGTTCCTGCCATCTGTACATAGAGTCATGGTGAGTGGGGCCTTTTTGCAAGAAAAAACCTGAGTGTTGGCTCGCAAGTGAGGATACTGCCATGGTAGTGGTGTGGGTGACCATAAAGGTATTTCTAAGGCATGCAAATGAGTGTGTGTGTGTGTGTGTGTGTGTGTGTGTGTGTGTGCGTGCATGTGCAATCATTTGTCTGTGTACAAAAGGCCCTGTGTGTGTCTTATGAGTGTCATGATGCAGTGCTTGGAGCTAGAGAGCTGTGCAAGTAATAGCCTCGCTCAGGCTAGATAATTAGTCAAATGCTGATTTCTACTCGACTCCCATAGGAACAGTGCCACCAAGGCTAAATATCACCCACTGAAGTGGTGCTTATCTCTCTGTGTGGGCTGGAGAAATGGCAGTACCATATAGCCCGTGTGTGTGAGAGTGTGTGTATGTGTGTGTGTGTGTGTGTATGGGAATGTGCATGCTCTCTATTTTTTAAGCTACTTTTGAGGTAACATTTATATCTGGAATTAGCTTGTTCGCAGTGTGTTTAAGCCCCTTTTTTGTGTCATCATTAACCCAACATGCCGCGATGAAGCACAATGTTGTTGAAGCTAGCTGTCAAACTGTCAACCTGCCTCCCTCGTATTGACTTCACATTTGTCATATCGAAGTATGTAATGCTCACTGTGATGAGAATGTGTTCCTGACCTTCTGTCCCATGTCTTTTTTCTGTTGTTGTTGTGTTTATGCACAGGAGCTCCAGTTTGAGCGGCTAACCAGGGAGCTGGAAGTGGAGAGGCAGATTGTGGCCAATCAGCTGGAAAGATGCAGACTCGGGGCCGAGTCGCCAGGCGCTGGTAGCAGCAGGTAATGAGAAGCTGCACATACACACACACAGACACACACGCACACACAGAGCCACAATCCAACACATGGCGTTTTCATCCTTCACAGCAGTGACCGTATTCCATAGTGTAACCTTATGGCACAGTGATGGAGCATCCCAGTGAGCTCAAATATGATTGGACTGTAAATCTAAAAATGTCCCCCTCCTGTCCTGTTATTTAGAAATGGAAAGAACTGCTCCGGTGTTATCTAAAGCTGAGCTCAGACTACAGGAATTTTGGGCCAATTTATCCCTGATTCACACCTCCAGACAATCGGAGGAGAAATACAGTCTGGGACCTTGGTCAGTACTGATGTTCGGCCCAGATTATTTACGAATGCGAGAGGTTTACAGAACCAAGGCTGCGCCCGACTCAGAATTATGTCAGTGGAGTTAGATTTGGCTGTATAATATGAATAGTCAACATTTTTGTCCATATAAAGTTTGAACGGGCTCAGAGGGAGCTTCACTGAGACAGTGGCATTCACGTAGTAAACAAGCTAACTATACTAACGACATATCAGAAATGTGCAACAATTTTTGCAGATGCTAGATATCAAACAAAAGCCAGAGACTGTGTTATATTAAGTTGCTGTGAGCTGTACATTCACCACTTCTAAACAGAGGAGAAAATTATCTTAGAGCCTTAGGGTTCAAAGCCTCTCCTCCTCTGTGCCGCTGCATTGTGTCAGCACCTCTCTGTACCAAAAAGTAGCGTGAAAGTCAAGAGCACTCATTCCACAGCAAAAACTGGGGACCAAAACATCCCAGAAGTACAATGCACAGCACACTGACTAGAAGACAGAAAAATGACTGCTCAACTTGAAGCAATCTCAGTCGAGTGAGGTGTCTCCGACTGATGATTCGAATCTCTGATTTTCAAGGGGCAGCCTGACACAGATCCAGTCATAAACCTCGCAGACTGCTCGCACACTCATCAGTTCACTCCAGGAATTTTAAACATCTCGGATATAAGGAGTTAAAATCTGGACAATTGCAGTTATGATTGCATTAGTACAGAGCAGCTGACAGTGATGCCGCTAAACATTCTCGCCCATGAGGGTAATGTTGGCTCTCATACTGCTGTTGTTAGATATTAAAACTGACAGTTAAAATCTCACCTTCAGTTCTCACTGAAAAATGGACAACCCATCATTACCCAAATGTTTTCTCATCCAGACTCTTTTAGCCTCCTGCTTTTGTTTTTTTCTCAGTCCAAAGCATTTTTTAACATTACTACAAGTTGTCACACCAGATCAGTCTCCATTTTGTTTAAAGCTGCTTCTCCATGTGATCACGTGAGGTGGTGCATTCATGCTCCCTCTGGCACAATAATCTTAATAATATCATGCAGTCTTGTTGCGTATGCATGTTTGGGGTTAAAGAGAAGAACATGAGCAAAGTTTCTCCTTATGTCCGTGATGCAACCGGATTTCAAAATCGGTCAGGATTTTAAAACTCCTGTAGTCTGAGCCCAGCTTCAGCTTATCAGAAACTCACTTGTGTCAGTTAGCAGTTTAAATGTGCAGGATTTTGTACCGGCTAATTGAGTCAAATCGCTTTTATGTAAAGCTTAAATGAAAATATAAAAAACTGTCTTTGTAGGCAAAATATTAAGCTGTAATGTTTATCAGTAACAGAAGGTGCATGTGTTTGTGAACGTGCATGATAGTGGAGTGTTGTTTGCTCAGTGAAGCGCTGCTGTCAGCGTTGAAGGAGTGTGGAGCTTCTGAGTTTGTTCTGGGAACTCATTCCCATTTCATCAGCTAAGACACTAGGCTGCCTGATCATCACACCTCAGTGACCACACATTCTGTCCTGTCTGCTGTGGCTCAGACATGTCAGGTTCATTTGTACAGCTCAATACCACGTACAATATCCCAATGGGCTTCACAGAGCCGCTGTGAAGAAGAGTTGACACCAGTCTTATATTATAGCGTGGCTTGACGGTTTACCTCAATGTCATGTGACAGAGATACAGAGGATATGGAGATGCAGTGATACACAGGAATGCTGTTGGTACTGGCCAATAACAGCTATATGAATTAATAACGGTAGCTGGCAAGAAAAAAAACTATACTGACAGTAAAATCCTGCAGAATAAAAACATCAAGGTCAAGGTTTGAAATGTGTGCGTGTTTTGTAACATTCATTCATGCATCACTGTTTTCAGTTGTAGTTCCCCTTATTAAACAAGTAATATGTGACTCGCTTTTGGGTCCGGTTAAAAATGGAATTTCTTATCATGGCAAGGGAAATTATAATAGAGGTTAATAGACTGTGACATTTAAGAGATTGTTCAATGGTCAGATTTTTCAGGCAGTATTGATATGATAGTTCTTTGTTTCTTTGCTTTCATGAAGGCTATAAGTTTTGATGGCACAGTGTAGTGTTGTACTGTGTGGGTATTTTACTAATGATTAACCATTATACACTGATTTGTAGCTTTTAATGCGTTAGTCACTGAGGACAGTTTATGATAGCATACAAGGTTGTTGTTGATAATGGTCAGATTTTGAATTAAACATAGTGACTCAATATGGTCATGGACACATGTGACTACATGCTAGACGGCTTTTACATTGGCAATTATGGCCGTGCTGAGTCAAACCATGCTACGTTTATAGGGGTTTACATTACCAGTTTAAATGCGCCAATTTGCGCCAAGTCTCTGGAGCCAGGCCAAAATGTGCCCAACCACCTCTAAAGTGGTTGCAGTGACATCAGATAAACTTCGTCATCATTATTCAGGCGACAATTCAGTGACATGTTTTAAAAAAAAAACACTAGCCCTGCTTACTGGAGTGAGACGACCGTGCATTCAGAAATATTCCAAGGAAGCTGGAGGGAATTTGGCATGTGTTAGTGCAGCGCTGAGAGAAAATTTAAAAATGCTGACATCAGCACTAGAAAGTTATTGACCACAATAACACCTGCAGGGCAGACAAAAAAATTTCCGTTGACTCACAAGCACGTCACAGATAAAGACACACCTTCAAGTGGGAAGTCCTGCAGGGCTTTAACATTGGCTCTTTCAGCCATGCTGTGTCAAACCATGCCATGATTTCTGTTCAAACATGCCAAACCACAGCCTAGATGGATCATCTTAGGACTTGGGCCAAAAACTCACCCAACTGCCTCCAAGTGGGTAGCAGTGACGTCTTGCCAATTGCAGCCAACACCTGACGATCCCCTTCTGATCCTCAATCATTTGTATGTTGCAAGACTCAACTCCTGTCTGTCCATGCAGGAGATAGAGAGGGAGAAGAGTCTCTCTGCATACAGCTGTCAGTGCTTCAGTAGCTTCTAACTGGATCTCTGTGGTGTGGAGTTTAGTTTCTCTCCTATATCCTGTTTGTACTTTCAGATAGCTGCTTTAAGCTGTATAGGAGTCATGTTAAGTTACTGCTGATGAAAACCCAAAATTTCCTTATGTTTTTTGGCCTTTTTTGTGAAAAATTTATAGGAAATGAAATGTGTCAAACACTGAGTCAGAGGATCTTTGTTAGCAGATATTCTGCAACAAAAGCAGGTATACTAATATCGCAGGGAGGTAGAGTACATGCAGAAACAGCCACAGTGTGATGTTAGATGAACAGCTTGAGACAACAGGCTTGTACTGCACCTCTGCAAACAGCTCACCTCCAACAGGTAAACCTCTTTTATCTGTTGTGCTGTGTAATGGAAAAACACTCACAACAAAGAAACAGGGGACCTTTACCTGTGGATCAACCCACTGCTTTTAAATATCATCGACTCAAGACGAGCCATTGTCAGTCAAAGACACGCCTTTAAGTGGGAAGCCCTGCTGTATGGAGATGCAAATCCCTGCCACACTGGGCTGACACGCCGAGCCAAAGACTCAAGCTAAGCCAGCACATGTGAATGGAAGTGGGCTCTTTGTGAATCCCTGACCACTAAGGGACTGCCTATTAAACTGGAGCATTGATTTAAGCATTGTCAATTACTAGGATTATGAAGGGGTTTTTTTTCCTGACCATGGTGATAAAACATTACACCCCAGTAGTTAAGTCATTAACCACCATTTAAATAATGTTTTTTCCAGTGTACCCTTACACTAGATGGTTATTGATATTGAGAACTTCCTCTTATGAGACAAACAGTAAGATAAAAGGTACTGATTACTTGGGTGACATACTGGAGGCTTGATGATTACCCAGACTACAGTAAGGGCCTGTTGAGTCACAGTTTATCCACTTAGCTCAGCTTGACAGTTTCTTTTTGCTCCCTCGCTCCCTGCTGTATTTATAGCCCTTTTTAAATAGGAATTGTGCAAAACGGGGGGTACAGCAAAATGCCGCCTACCTACCTTTGTTCATACAGAATGTGCCTTTTTCGGGGCAAAGGGGGGGCATGAGCAAGTAACAAAACGTGTAGCTCAGTGACGTACTCCGAGGGAAGCCGCGGCTGGTCAGTCCTTCGGCGATTCTCTCATAAGTTGGCCCGTCCTTCACCGTTCCCATCATTTTACGGTTAATGGCCTCTTCGTTTGCGAGGCCAAGGAGGGCACGCAATTCCTTGTCTCCCCAGTTGCTCATCTTTACAGTGTCTGTCAGGTTTGCGTTTCCCTCTTGCTACTAGCTTCTCATTCCTGCTATCAGCTGTTTCCTGTTAGTCCACCGCCAGTGGGTCGCACGTGCGGCATCATCAACAGCTCCTCCCAAAAGTCATCAACAGCCCCTCCCATGGTGGAAGGGCGCCTCATTCTTTTTAAACCAAAAAAGGTTCCGCCAATATGTTTACCTCTACGCGGCGTAAAATTGGGCACCTCGGATCAACTCGCCAGTTGGGCTCTGTGTGTCTAACCGCTCGTAGCTTGCCGGCAAAACGGCCCAACATTCACGGAAAATCTAGCAGTGTAAAAGGGGCTGAAGATTTATTACTGTTTTTAAAAAGTGCCTGAGTGTCCAAAGTGTTTATATAAACCAATGAATGCTAATGTCATTAACTAAGGCTATCA